TCTGTTCACCCCAGAACTACTCCTGATATGGAGAGAGGAGCAGAATGGTTTCTATAATCCTAGTTGGATTAACTGCATAGATTTGATACTGCAACCTGGTCAGTGGTCAGAAAGCCCATCAACTCTCTGGCTGTAAAAAAGATATGAATCCATGGGAGGGATAAATAAGGAGTTCGAGATGAACAAATACACACTGCTGGGTATAAAATAGGTAAACAACAAGGCCCTGCTGTGTAGCACAGGGAAGTCTATGCAATATCCTGTGATAAACTATAATGAAAAAAAATCTGAAAATAATATGTATCAAAACCACTTTACTGTCCACCTGAAACTAAGACAACATTGTAAATCAACTATAGTTCAGTTAAAATAAAAATATATGCACCGATACCTGTGTGGAATGCAGTCACAATCAAGATGCACCTTTTTGCTTAATATGCCGTGCTTTCTAGAATACTGCCATTGATGTTGGCTTCTAACAACCACTCTTGGTGTAGACAGGGCGGGAATGATGGTCTTCATTTTTAAGATGAGGAAACTGAGGTTCACTGGTGTTAGCTGCATCACTAATGTCATGATGATGGAAATGTCATGATTAGGAAATGGGGAACCTGGTAATAGAACCCAGGTTTGTGGATTTCTAGCACAGCATTCTTTCCACATATAGCTCATTGCCTCTCATTGCACCATATTGGACTATGGTTTTTAACATATTAATCTATCATCCTATCTTAGGCTAGAACTTCCTTGATGGAAAGATAAGTATCATGTTGGAGAAACATGACACCAAATAAGTAGAATATAGACTTTAAAAAGCATATAGACATTACAAATTAAAGCAGCGTGTTAACTATCTAACCTCCATTTTCCAATCAGTTTAAATTACTTTAATGTATGTTTTTAAACTCAAAATTAGCTGTAATCCCAATATGTAACCCTCTTAATGCTCAGTGACTTAACACTGTATCATTTCACTTTGACTTCCCTCCTTTTGCAGCGTCTCATATTCCCAAACATGTGTCTGGAACTTGGGATTGTCTTTTCCTGTCCCAAGATTTCAAAAGAGGAATTTTCTCCTTGTATATTTTTTAGACTTAATTACTTTCCCTTAAAGTATTTTTATTTGCCTTAAAGTATTCATGTTTATTTTGCATGCAAATAATTCACTTAATTTTTCTTTGTAGTCTCTTAAGAATTCCTTATATCATATATAAAACAAAGTCAAAATACAGTGAAAGTGGAGAACACAAATGGTGAGCTGTTTCTCGTGCCTGGCAGACATTCCCTGCAACCATATCGTTTGGATATGAGCACATGGGAAGATGACAGGAGAACATCTGACTAGAGCTGTGGGGACTCTGAAATGATCCTGGGTTAAATTCCAAAGGGGGGGGGAACCTCTGAGCATAGATATTTTCCATCAATAGCCAAGCAACCCAGAAAAAATTAATTTGAATGAAGTTATTTTCCTATAATGGCTGTATAAAAAGACATATGTTTCAAAGAGACTGGCCTTGAACATGATTATGTACCTCCTGATCAGAGGGAAATAACTGGGTCTAATTGAAAGTCCTGACGCACAAAGAAGAGAGGACATTTTCAAAAGCGTGTCACTGAATCAAAGCTAGGTTAAGCAATGTCACTTTGATTTCTCTCCTTCCCATCTCCTGCCAGTGGCATGCTCAGCCCATCACATCCAGCTTGCTTTAAAATGAAACCACAGGGACTTCCCTGACAGTCCACTGCAGGGGGCGCAGGTTCCATCCCAGGTCAGGGAACTAAGATCCTGAATGCCCCGTGGCACGGCCAAAATGATAGTAATAAAAAAGGAAAACCACTGGAACCCCATGCCCATTATTTCATGGTAACCTTTCTTCTTCAGGAACAGATTAGTTTGGATTTTAAGGGATTCAGAAAAGTAGATTCATGCGATTCCCACAATGGCTTGTCTTCAGCCTACTGCCCTGTCTTATTCCACCAGCTGGGACTGGGGGAGAAAAGGTGGTAGAAAAGGCAGACGTGGGTATGCAGCCTGGCTACATTCTGTAGTGATGGTCAAGGTCTTGCCCGGACTCCTTGTCAGAAACTGGCTCTTCCTTTTAGCACCCTTTAAGGGATTGCTCAGAGATAGGCATTCATATCCTAAACACCTGTGAGAGATGACGGGCCAGACAGACACTGTTCTTGTTTCCTCATTTTCACCTATTACCTCATTCCCTCACTTTGTTATGATTCCACCATTTGTGAAAATTCAACCTTAGGCACTGATGGTGAGAAAATAACTTTTGCCTATCAAGCCAAAGTGAAAAGTGAAAGTGTTCGTCGCTCAGTCATGTCTGACTCTTTGCAACCCCATGGACTGTAGCCACCGGACTCCTCTGTCCATGGAATTCTCCAAGCAAGAATACTGGAGTGGGTTGTCATTTCCTTCTCCAAGAGATCTTCCTGACCCAGGGATTAAACCTGGGTCTCCTGCATTGCAGGCAGATTCTTTACCCTCCGAGCCACCAGGGGAAAAAAGTACCCAAATATTAATGGGTATTTGCAATGGACTTCCCTCATGGCTCAGATGGTAAAGCCTCTGTCTACAATGTGGGAGACTTGGGTTCAATCCCTGGGTCGGGAAGATCCCCTGGAAAAGGAAATGGCAACCCATTCCAGTACTATTGCCTGGAAAATCCCATGGATGGAGGAGCCTGGTAGGCTACAGTCCATGGGGTCACAAAAAGTCAGACACGACTGAGTGATTGAACTGATCTGATCTAGCAATAGAATCTGAGACTTAATAGAAGAAAAGGACTTGGATTTCCAATAGTAATGTCTAAACTGAGGAAATATTTCATCGATTTCAAACAAATTGCTTCCAAGTGCATTGGGTTGTTGTTATGGATTGAAAGGTTCGATATGCTTATGCACTGGTCACTCAGAATGTCAATCCAATGTTAGATTATAAATCGTCTCTGTTACACATGGTTGCTTCTGCCTTCTAATTTGTAACAGTATTCTTTTCATCTCTTAGCCATCACTCACCTCCAGGGTTCACAAATATAAAGGTCTCCAAGTGTATACCTTTTAAAAGGGTCCAAAGAGCTCTGAGGTTGGTGAACCACTGCTTCAACGCTCACCATTCTGAATGTTATTTCTACAGTCTAAAAGAATCTGGGGGAGTACTAGTTTGGTTCTGATTACATAATTATGCTACAGAAGTATGAAAAAAATCATCACTAAAACCCTCCAGGTGCTTAAACAGTTTGATAGACTGTAGCCATTCTGCCATCAGCGCCCCCAGCTGTGTTGCTTAGCAACATTTTAATTCTAGAAGAATCGAAGGAGATGCAATCCCTGTGGAGAGGGAAACAGAAATAAGAGGGCTGTTGACAGATGATCTGAGTTGTTTCTTCTAATATACTGTGAAGATCACTAGCTCTTTTCATGAATGATAAATGGACTGTACACAGATCAATGGGTTCAGCAATAAAGTGGGACCAGGCTCCACGTCTAAGGGACGCAGGCTGAGAGGCCCAGAGATTTCCTCATTTCGATGATTTGGTGTGTGTTTTCTTAAAGGTTCCATGGAAGGAAATTGATCCGAGCTGTCTGTCAGCTCTTGCCTTTTTGTGGTATCTGCTAATAAAAATGATTTTAGAAATGGGTACTTTGGCCTTGCTATCACCAGGCAGGTGCAACAGGTGGCTGGAGCAATGCAGGGTTTAGAGTTTCCCGTCCCAGATCTAAAAATCCCCAGATGTCCCCATGACCATTCCCTCTGTGCTTCCCTCACCATCCTGTCATAAGCCAAGCAGGTGCATGTGGAGGAGGAGGATATATCTAAAATATGGTGTGTGTGCCTGCATGCTGGGTCACTCAGTCATATCTGACTATTTGTGACTCCAGGGACTGTGGCCTGCCAGACTCCTCTGTCCATGGGATTTTCCAGGCAAGAATACTGGAGTGGGTTGCCATTTTCTCCTTCAGGGGATCTTCCCGACCCAGGGATCAAACTGGCATCTGTCTCCTTCATTGCAGGCAGATTCTTTACCAACTGAGTCACCTGGGAAGCCCCTCTGAAGTATTGGGAATGGCCAATTATATGAATACTTATCTCTAAGTCAATCACAATAGAGCTCCTTTAGTGTAAGGGATTTAAAACCTAATTGGTTAGTATTATCCAGAGGTAGGAAAGTATTACATACTCACATAATTAGAGGGAAAGACTTTTCTGAATTACAGACATATAAACAGACAGACACAGAGAGCTTATAGTTTTCATTCTAAAATTTCAGTCATAAGTCAAGCATAAACAAAGTTCACAGGTCCATTTCAAAGACCTGCTCTCCTTAGTGAGTATATATCTCAATTTATTTGAGCTGAAAACACACAAACAGAAAAAAAAGAAACAATAAACCAGAGTCTCTGTTCTATTTTACCCAAGAGACAAGATCTCTGTAAGTCATCAGTCCCGTTACAGTGATCAACAGATGGTCAGACCAAATAGAAAGGCAAACCATCCAGGAAATTTAGGGGAGTCAGGAGGAAGGATGGAACTGAGCCTCAGCATGTGGACAGCAGTGTGGTCCTTTGAAATTAGCTGTTTTCCAGAACATGAAAGGATGGACTAGAGTGGGGGAGTTCTTCATGATCTCTGTTTTCCAGAAGCACAGGGCTCAGGTTTAAAAAAAAATGGAAGGGAAAGATGAGAAGAGGAGGATGGAGTCATGAGCCTAAGCCTAAGGGCCCACTCGCATGGGTACTGCTGAACTTCCCAGGCAACTGTGGCCGTGCTCGCCTGTGTCTGAAAGCTGTACTTGGACCGGTAACCACGCTCCCCAGGAGAGGGCAATTGCTTTCTATGCCTCCGGTCTGCTTATCTCCAGCAGCCTGCCTTGGTTAACTCCTCACGTTTCTGAAGAGCATCTTATATTGCTTATTGTTTTGGTAACTAGTTGCAAAGATTATGCCTGCTAATGTTGTCTAATTGCATTTTTTTCTTCTGTTCGCAGGCTGTTGAAAAGGCAAAAGCTAAGAATAATCCTGTGAAGTAAGTTATTTTTTTTTATTAGTTGGAAATGTTAATTTGAATGGACTCCAAGAATGTGAAAAAAGGTCATAAAAGAGACCTTGATTTTGAGTTCATCTCTATTCGTGACAATTTAAAAACAAAAACCAAAACAAGCAGGGAGAAAAAAAAAACCTTCAATGAGCAGGGACCAGCTTTTCAATTTTTCCTGTGGTCCTGATGAGGAAGTGCTCCAAGTTATGCCTGGTTTACATAAATTAATATGTGCCATCCATGAATAGCTGCCAAATACTATTATAATCATATTCAATGCATAGTACTTCAAGCCTTTGGGTTTTGCACATGCTAAAAAGATTACATTTTTAATTGCAAACCTTGGACCTATGACAGAGACGTAAGTGACTGAAAATGTGCCAAGTGATTTCCAGCCACGTGGGGAGCTTTGGCACCTCGGCATCAAGGCCTCGGCACTCTGTTAATGAAAAGCTCATAAAAATATATTTAACCGAAGGCTTTTCTAGCTAACAGAGAGCTATTTCCAAGGCATTTTATGAGACACTCTTAAATTATAAACAAGCTGCACAGCAGTCTTTTAAATATAGTACATCCTGTCTCCTCCAGAAGGGAGACTTTCAAATTAAAGATGTCTGTCTTGTCATTTGGCTTCATGACATCTGATTACCATGTTATGATGCATACCAGTTCCACCAGCATGTGGGCTAGGGAAGACCTGCTCTATTTGCTGGGTTACTACAGGTCGAGTGACATCACATCTCTAGGAACTACAACGTGTTAATTTATGTCAGGCAACTTCCACTATAGTAGATACCAAATGCAGGAATAGAAGCACATTGATTTATTTTTTTAATTTGTAGCTTTTAATATAAAGTGTGTCTCCTGTGGATGGCATATAGTTAAATCTTGTTTTTTCCCCCAGTCTGGCAGTCTCTGCCTTTTGGCTAGATTGTTAAATCCATTCACATTTAATGTTACTATTGATGGGGTTGGATATATATAGTTATATAGTTGGGAGTGCATTGGATTTTTAATAGTTTCTGGGAGAATGGATCAGCTAATGCCAATGACAAGAGGGCTGCTTGTGTTTTGTAAAAATAATTAACTTTTCCAAGTCACCAGGGTAGTGTTTAGCACACCATTAAATGCAAGTTCCGATTCATTTTTCCAAAAGGTTTTCTTTTGTACTTTGTATTTAAATTTTGTTTCCTGAGGCCTCAGAATATTCCTTATCAGCTTTTTGTAGCCTCTGGAGGGCTATCTGTGGTCTGGAGATGTATTTTGCTGTAGTTGTCTATGGGAGCATTTTTAGTAGCTGAATTGTTGTCTGGTTGTTTGGTAGGGGGTGCAATCGTCTCTGCAGCCTGATTTCTTTTCTGTCTATGCCTGGAAGGCTTCTCTACTGCGAGCCTGTGGCAGGCAAGCTCCGTGGATTAGAGGATGGTGCTAATGAGGCCAAGGCCAGGACTGGAGTCCCTCAGTGAGCCATTAGTGATCTTCTTTCAGAAGTCCAACTGCACCCCTTCCTCCAGTCCACCCACAGGCAGATGTATGCCCTAAGTCACAAGGGATGGGGCAGGGTCTGGAGGAGTGTAAATCTGGCCCTCAATGGGACAAACATCTCCAAGTTCAAGCCTGCCCAATAGGAAGTAAATCCCAAGCTCCATCTTTGCATGCACAAGACAGCCCACTGGCAGCATACAGGGCTGCATTTAATTACACTCTAATGGCCTGGAAGTAGGACCAGTTTTCTGTCTGCTCCTTGTGAGAATTCTACCCTACAGATAATTACATTTTTTATGAGTTTTGGTTAACTCACAGTACAGACTCTATCTAATGTCTAACACTTTAAGGAATGTTGTAAAGAGAAAACAGGAAAAGTAGAAGAGCCAAAGGATTACTAATAGAACATGAAACAATATTTTATTTTTAAATATATTTGAAAATCTGTCTAGTAATAAGCCTAAATCACAACCAACTGGTAGGTGTTTAGAATTGTCTCCTAATTAAGTAAGAAACCAATCTCAATGTGAGTTTGAGTGTCTTGTTGTGTTTGGTACGTAATACCTGCTACCTAACTCAGTTGCCTAGCCACAACCATCTGAGGACTCCAAAAAGAGAGGCTTCTTCAAGACCTCAGCTCAGGGGCAAGAATCTCAGCTCAGAGAATGGTTCAATTACACTGCCTGATGGCAGAGCAGAAACAAGGCTTTAAAAAGTTTTGTGTATGGCGGTCATCTTTCCATTTCCAATATGTCTCTGTCAGACATAATGCACTGCGACCCTAAGTAGGGTTAGGGTTTGATATGCGTTTTTTGAATTAATAGACAAGTAAACAAATTGGGTGCGTCCCAGAAAGCAGTACTTTCAGGAACCCAGCCTGGATGCTTAATAAGACCCTAGTGGGGCATCAGGACTGAAGGACGCTTGTGTTGTAACTGAGCAAGGTGTCCGTCTGTTCTGACTCATGTTGTTCAGTTGCTAAATCGTGTCTGATTCTGTGACCCCCATGGACTGCAGAATGCCAGACTTCCCTGTCCTTCACCATCTCCCTGAGTTTGCTCAAGCTCGTGTCCATTGTGTAGATGATGCCATCCAACCATCTCATCCTCCATCATCCCCTTCTCCTCCTGCCCTCAATCTCTCCCAGCATCAGGGTCCTTTCCAGTGAGTCGGCTCTTCACATCAAGTGGCCAAAGTATTGGAGCTTCAGCTTCACCACCAGTCCTTCCAATGAATATTCAGGGTTGATTTTCTTTAGGATTGACTTGTTCGATCTCTTTGCTGTCCAAGGGACTCTCAAGGTCTTCTGACTCATGCCACATGTAAAATATTACCACATTGCTCTGGTTTATACTAACTGCATTGACTTTGACCACTCATTAGCTTGATCTTGTATATGAGAATTAACACATAATCATTTGTGGGGCCATACATTGAAAAGAATGTTCAGCCTTGTTGGAAAAGTGGAGGTCTAGAGGCATCATTTACAACTAAGGATAAACACAGAGAGGTACAGATGATCATTATGTGTGATTGGTGCAGAGTTTGGCAAGTGGTGGGGAAAAAATTCAAAAGAATACTATTTCATGACATGTAAAAATTATATTAAATTCAAATTTCAGTGTCCATAAAAGAAGTTTTATGGCACACAGCTACACTCATGTCTTCCCAAATTGTCTGTAGCTCCATTTGTGTTACAGTGGCAGAATTGAGACTGTGCAAACCAACAAATCAAAAATATTTCTTATCTGGCTCTTTACAGTTTGCTGACCCCTGCTCTGGTTAGTCAGGTAGGCAAAAGTGCACATGTAAGCTTTTCTATGACGGTGAATGTTAAACCATGAACCTTTCTCTTTTTGCCTTCTAAAACACTGAGTGCTCAATGGCTCAGTCATGTCCGACTCTTTGTGACCCCATGAACTGTAGCCTACCAGGTTCCTCTGTCCATGGGATTTCCCAGGCAGGAACAGTGGAGTGGGTTGCTATTTCCTTCTCCAAAAACATTGAGTAGGCACTATATTTACTGAACTCTCATCTTGTGTTCGGGACTTTCTGTGGCCGATATATCACCTAACCCTCATTCAGAGTACAGAAACCACTCCAAATTCAAGATCTTTGAAGATCATCATGGATATGAGATCCATTCATGGGACAGTGATGCCTCAGAAACCAGCAAATACATAGCTACAGTGTATTGATAATCTTCCAAGTTGTGTGTAGATGGATATCTTGCAAAAGGCATTTTCTATAATTCTATTACTTCCCAAGATTTAACTAAGGCTGAGTAAGCTTTCAGTTCAAGTGAGGGTAAATGATTCACAATATTATTTAGTTTGCATATTTTCTTCGGTAAAGGTTCGTCTCCTCCCTCGCTATTTCTCAACCACTTGTTTAATTTCTTTTTAATAACTTCATGGTTGTAAGCTTCTTTCATCACTATAGGGAGAGGGTGGTACATGTTAATTACACTCCATACAAAGGAGAAATTAAATATATGCTTAGTGAATATAAGCACATAATGTACCTGGATACACTAATGACTTTACCTTGAAACATTCAGTATTACCTCTGAGGATAAGAATCAAAATTGTGTATTCTTAAGATCAGTGATCAGGACAAGAAATACTATTGTACTTATCAGTCAATTGGAACCATGCCGGTATCAAAGCTTGATTAGTATGTTCAAACTGTGCCTCTTTAATGTGTTAGAGAGACTTTCACTTGTATGTGAACATTCTGCAGCAATTATCTTCAAGCTTCATTGTGAAAATAAGGCCTGAGAGATGTACAGATTTCTTTTACCATATGTGACTTATCACATACATTTTTAAAAAAACACACATTTCTGTTATTAAGACATATGTGATAGTACACTTCTGCAAATGTGAATTGCTTTTGGCTAAATGCCATGCACTAATAAGTTGAGTTGAATCTAACCGAGGTTGACATCTGTTACCAAAAGAGAGAGAGAAGGGGGTGGAAGGAGAAGCAGTTATCAAGCATAAAATTCTTCCTTGCATTTACACGTTAACAAAGTTAAACAACGTGATGGTTGTCTTTCACAAATCAGGATCTGAATCCACTCTGCTTAGGAAATTGCAGCTTTATTTAGGAACCAATCCATCTTACAGATATGGTGGTTTCATTATTGAAAATGACAAATGGCCACGAAGATTTTCCTGACCGTGATGTTTGTACATTATTCATTTATTCATCCAATGAATATTTATTGAAGATCTCCAGCATTTCGGGAACTGTGATAGATGCTGAGGGAATTAAAAATAAATCTGACACAGGTCTTACCCTCGAGGAGTTTAGAGTCCAGGAGGAAAGATAAAATCGGTTTGTAAAGAACTAAATACAAGATAGAGAGAGGTTTGCTAAGTGAGGGACAGATAAAGTACATGGGAAGCTCTCAGGACAGAAATGCTTCTAGTTATCACTATTGGAGAAGCTGGGGGAGGGGAGCAGAGGAAGAGACATTGGCACCAGGACTTCAGAGA